GTAAAAAATATATTCTTTAATTGATTATTAAACTATTATAATGAAGCTACTGCAATTTAATTTTTTCACTCTTTGCATCAACACATTTTCATCTTCATACAGTAAATTTGACATTTTTTAAATGGCAATTTTTTTATATTGATGTTTCGGATACACATTAACGTCACTTACTGTGCTATTAATTACTTTCAACATTAACTGTGGGGCTCTTGGCTAATAATGTCGTGTACGGTGTTCTTTAAAGAGCGAATAATACTTATAACCATAATGCTTAGGAGATTTACTGTCAATTTCCACTAATTCCTTGAAAAAAAAAAAACGTTTCTTGGCAACTATATTGTCCTTGGTTCTAAACAGTTTATGTGGTGCTGTTGACTAGAGCTGATAATTCTGAGTGAGACAGCGTACTGAACGCGTATCTCTGAACCTCTTCCAAGAATTTCAATTCAATTAATTAATTCCATTGCATTACTCCTGAAGAAGCGCTTGTGCTTACAACACGAAAGTTCCTAAACATCCTCATTCTCTCCCTTGTGAGTTATTTTGATTTTTTTTAATAGCTTGTTTGGGATTGACATGATGAATGCTACTCATCAACTCTTCTCCTAATTTTCTCACCTATTTCCTTCCTCTGTTTTGACGTTCCTTCCTACGAACGTTCTCCTTAAAGTCCGTAAATCTTCTTTTACATTAGTGTACTTAATACCTCAGTGAACATATCTCACGAAAATCGATGCTTCAGAACAGGTTGATCAGCCTTGCCACGACTTAATTTGATCACCTTTGCCGGTTAGTCCTTTCTATATATAAAAAAATATTGATTTTTTAAGACATGGGAGGAAGATGATTTTTACCGACATGTGAAGAGTTTAGAATGTATTTTATAACATCTCTCTTATGAGGTGGCTTAATTATGAGTATAGTGAACTAAGAGCGATGAGATTCATAACTGAAAGTCAAGTACAGAGCCTGAATGTGATGAACATGTGTCTAAATTTAAGCGTTTAGTTAAGTTTTGCTCAAACTAACAAAAATCAATTATTCAGATTTTGCTATTTTTTATTTTAATTTGGATAATGCTATGACTTGACTCTTGACACCTTCCACTTTTGGAAAGGAATTGTATATGATGGACTGCTTAGGATGGCGGTTTATAACTGTCCTCGGCGTTGCATTAAATCATATCAAGACCTTTAAAACGATACTAGGCATCGTTTTTACAAACGCATACAAATTAAATTAAATGCTTTGGTTATTCTGGATTAATAGATTATCTGAATTCAATAAATAATTGACTCGGTGATGCAGAAATATATATTCCCCTTACCAAGAATATCCATGGTCAGGTTGATAGTCATTTTAATAAATGTTTGAAAAATCCTGCTTAAAGGAAGTGATGAGATTATGTAACAACAGTCTGCTAGATCAGTTACTCTCCCGTACATGTAACTCTGTCGGGTTAGCAGCAAATAATTTATCAAAATGGTTGGTCAGATTATTAACTCCAATTGGAGGCAGTGTTTTCGTATGCCCATGTTAAGAACAATGTAGATCTGTTGATGAAATGGTTATTAATCATAACCTTAATTTTTAAAGAGGTGAACCGGTAAACCAGCGGAAGGCCTCGGTCAGATGACCAAAATCTCCAGCTGAGGGTCATCATATAACTAGAACCCGCGTCAGGAAATACTTTTCTGTTTACTGACAAGCATTATACCTAATGTTGATCTTACTGAGAAGCTTTATAACATAAACATGTTGAATGACTACGCTGACGAGCTTTGCTGTCACTGTACTATTCAACAGAGTCCCTGCTCTAAATTTATTAACAGACCATGACGATGATCTAGACAAATTTCCTAATGCCGTACCTAAAGAATATCATTACTGAACTAATTTAACTGTGGTGGATTGTAGATTTGCATCTGAATTTAATTTTTATGCACAAAAACAAGGAATTGCGTTGGGTAATCTGATTTTCTCTGCACTGAGAAACTTGTACATGGAGTTTTTTAGAATAAACGTTTGAAAAATATTCGTGCATAGTTTAACCGCTAATTGGATAAGATGTGTAGATGACGTTCTTTTACTTGTGGTCATTAAATCAGAATTTGAGTAGTCTACCGAGATACAATGGCCTGGCCCCTGTAATTGGGCTCTCACTCAACTGGACCCTGATAATAAGCTCCCGTTCCTTGGCGTATTGATAAACCCATCTGAATTTTCTTCAATTTTCTTTGTAGTTCTTGTTCTTATTTATTTCCTTTCATCCCAATGGGAAAGTAGGAAAAATCTTTCCTCCATAACCCATACATGTCGTAACAGGCGATTAAAATGTCGGGAGTAATGGGCTAGTAACCCTTCCATCTGTATAAGTTGTTAAAAATAAGTAGAAAAACTTTATAAAGTTGGGATGTTTGAATGGACGTGGATGTAGTGCAGATGATAAAAGAAAAGGATGTTTGCCAGCGTCATATATGAAAAGAAGTTGGATATCCTAGCTCTAAGCAAAACAGAGCTAAAGCAGGGTAGGGGAGTTTCAGTGGGGTGAAATAAATGGGATTAGGCCAGGAGTATCTGAGAGAATTAGAGCTTAGGAAAGGGGTAGCAATATTGTTGAAGGATCAGTTATGGAATGAGAAGAAGGAATATTTATGTTTAAATTCAAGGATTTTGTGGGTTAAAATAATGGTCGGACACAAAAAGTGGGTTATTCTAAGTGTTTATTCACCTTGAGAAGAGAGGAATGTAGAGGAAAGACAAAGATTTTGGGAGATGTTAAGTGAGTGTTTAGGGAGTTTTGAACCAAATGAGAGAGTAACTGTGGTAGGGGACATGAATACCGAAGTGAGAGAAACGGTTATAGAGGGCAAGGTATAAATGGTAAGGGAGATGAGGGCTTTGAATTTTGTGTAGAAAGAGGTTTGTTAATAGGTAAAACATATTTTATGAAAAAAAAGGTAAATATGTATACGAGATATATAGAGGGTATAATGTCAGTAGTTTGTTGGACTATGTACCGGTGGATGAAAGGTTGATGGGTAGACTTAATGATGTGCATGTTTATAGAGGGGCAACAGATACGTCTGATCATTTTTTAGTTGTAACTACAGTGAGAGTAAAAGGTAGGTGGGGTACAAGGAGGATGGTATCAGAAAGTAGGAGAGAGATGAAGGTTAATAAACTAAAGGAGGAGGCAGTTAGGGCAAGATATAAGCAACTATTGGTAGAAAGGTAGGCTAGTGAGAGTATAGGCAATGAGGTTGAAGAGGTGTGGGAGAAGACTGAAGAATGCAATGTTAGCGTGCTCAGCAGAAGTTTGGGTATAGGAGGGTGAGTGCAGGAAGGAACAAGAGCTATTGGTGGAATGATGACGTAAACAAGAGACGGAAAAATTTAGCATATGTGAGGATTTTACAAAGTAGAAGTTATATAAAGAGGGAAGAGTTTATGGTGATAAAAAGAGGTTGAGGCAGTGGTGAAGAAATGTAAAAGGAGAGCAAATAAGAGAGTGGATGAGATGCTCTCAACAAATTTTGTTGAGAATAAGAAAAAGTTTTCGAGTGAGATTAATAAGCTGAGGAAGCTTAGGGAACGAATGGATTTGACAACTAGAAAATAGAAAAAGAGTTATTAGATATGGATTTGATGGTGGAAGGAATATTTTGAGAAACTGTTGATGAATAGCTGTGATTTCGTGCATTGGCCATGAGTGAGGTGCATGAGGCTGTGGGTAGAATGAAATAGGATAAAGCATCTGGGATTGATGAGATTAAGACAGAAATGGTGTTTTTATTTAATAAATGTATGGGAGAAGGGAAGTATCTAGGGACTGGCAGATAGCAATCGCTAGGTTCCTGAAAATAGATAAACCCTCTGGTTTATTTATTTTCAGGAACCGTATATATCTCACTACATAATCTTCTGCATTATGGAAAATAATAATGCAGTGTTCCTAGTAATAAATATTTTTATGTAAGATAATGAATCCTCTTTCCGGTATCCCTGCAGTGCTGCAACATCGAAGCTGAAATTGTTCAGAGGAATTCGATAGTTAACTGTATATTAAGGGTGAATTGACAGCTATTCCCGTGGCCAGAGGATTTCTTGTGAAAAAAATCTCCAGTTTTAAGTGGGCGATATTTCCCCCTTTTGAAAGGGGGGTAATGACCCTCTCTAGAGAGGGCTACCCCTCTCAGAGGGACTTGTGTATCATCTTGCTTCTCCCTCTCACAACAACTTTATTAAAACCAAATGTGTACAGGGCGTCACCAGGCATGCCTCTCTCCTTACTAAAATTTCTGAGCAACTGCACATATGAGTATAAACCTGGAGTAACTGCTATTTACCCAGAACAGTATAATTTCAAATAAACCATCCCTATTTAATCTACAAGATAGGGATATTATATCATCTAGCCCATGGCTAAATAACAGGAAAACAGCCCTCTTGTGTTAAACTCTCTTGCAAAAGCCAGCAATGAAAGTCTATACAGCTGAAGTCACCGTTTCCTTTGTGGGATGAAAACTTGAGGTGCTATGCAGGGCCTGATAGGACAGATTGATTTAAGTACTCAGTGTGAATATGTCACTAAATCTCCCGCTGAGAACAAAGACAGCAGTGAATTGTGCGGTAGACTCTGGAATACTGACAATCTCCACTAGGGAGTTGAACTAGTGTAAACACGAGTGACATGATTTACGGTAAAAGTCATGATAAAGTGTGTTTTAACATGTTCCGCGGTGTGCACTGTGAATAAAAACGGCGGTATTAAAAAGTTACTGTACAATTGCGTTGTGAGTGATAGGACATTACGGTGATACACGGAGATTAATAGCACTCAAGCCATCATTCTCGGCCTATATGGCGTAGTCAGCGCCACAAGCTTCCGTTTCATGAGCAAGGTAGGTCCCATTCTCACTTGTATCCACCAAATATACACTGTAGTTCATAGATTGACACAAGATGATTAGGGTTGTCATATTCTAGGCCGTCATCTG